TTCGTTTCTACCAAATACAAATACCAGTAACTTTTACACACCGACAGCTGCTGGCTACACCGGTGCCGAACTGTTACTGTTTCTAACTGGATGCAATGATTTTCAGGTTCAATATAATATTGGTAAGTTAGCATCTCGAGGCGAGCTGATGTCCGTACAACTGATCACCTACATTCAGTTAAGGTATCACGTTATTGCTCGACCGTGCAAACTTTCGAGAACGGCAGATCATTTATTTTCTTAAGGTTAGCGTGTCACTATGTCACAGGTAAAATATCGCGTAATATAACTGCAAGAAAGTATTTAAAACAAAAGGCTGATTCATTATTTCGTTCATGCTTTGGTGACCATGCTGAAAGCAATAAGGAAGGACTTAATTATGCACAACACAAGAAATATTACCTGTCATATGAATGACCTGTACCTATTTGTGTACAAATAATTCGTGTTTTCATGTTGTTTTGAAAAATTTGCAGAAATTGGGGAGAGTTAAACAGTCCTACATAACAAATTGTGGCCCTGAAGAGCATGAACTAACAGTGCTATAATCGTATGCGGAAATAACTGTGCACCTGTTGAAATATGCACACGCATGAAATGCGTAGGGCTTAAAAGTTTGCATAAATTCCTTAAAATGGATAATTGACGCAATGAGCAATTTCTGGACTTGCATGAGAATTATCGGATATTCTACACGGGTTTACGAGACAGGTTGATATGTATTCATCGTAAAAGCTACCAATGCCGCTAGCAATTAAATGTAGTCTGTAACTGGCTGTAACGGTTCTATCCATTTGTCTGTCTACTCGAATATTCATCTCCAGTTTATAACTGACGGTTAGAGATATAGGAAAGAACAAACTGCTTAAATTGATAGGCATGTTCAACTTTTCCACTTTATTAATCAGAATTCCCAAAATGTATGCAAACCGAGCAGAAACGCATTTTTTCTAACAAGTCTGATAACAGAGTGTTTAATAGGTCAGCCCTGAACTCCTGCAGTGCAGGGTTCAAAACTGTTTAACGAAAAATTTTTGAGTTTCCTGCGAATTCTTTTCAGCAAGGAATTAACCTCGCATTGCTTACGGGCCACCAGCTGACATATGTGTTGTTAGTCTGAAACCTTGGAACAATGGGACAGCATGAAAATCTGGCATAGTTTTGGTTCAACAGCAGAGATTTTATGCCATTATGCCCGATAAGAACGTCCGTTTTTGCTAAACTATCTGTTGGTCTACGTGGTAGCCGACTATTCAGTGTGATAATCAGCAACAAGAAATCCCCTATTTCAATTTCGATGTCAGCATTTAAACTCCGACGTTGCAGGTGTCAAGTGCGGTTTAGAACGGAGGAGAGTTGGAGATTGTGGCAAAGTCTCCGTAAAATTTAGCTACCTGCCACTCACGGTATTGACGCCATCGAAAATTTCACCGGCTCGGTGGTCGCCCGGGTTACCAAAGGCCGTGCATGTTTTTGCAGGACTGAGGCAGACTGCGAAAGGTCCGCGATCAGAACCTGCCCATCGACCTCTTCCAGTAGGGCGCGGAGAAGCACAACAACTGCTGACGAAGAATGACGGAGCGACGACGAAGTTACCAGTCAGTAACGGAGTGGGAACCCGTTCTGAACGGAGGAAGTAGGCAGCGCGATGCCCGTATTGCAAGTCAGAAAAGGGCCCACGAGAACGATACCACCACATGAACAAGAGTTAGTTGATGAGATCATAAAGTACCAACTCGACATCCTTGAACTCTCGTCAACGAAGTCCGTGGGTTCTGGAATCCTGAACCTCAGCGGATCGAAGCTATTCTACTCAGGCATGGATATCACGACGCGTGTAAAGGCCTGTGATGGTGTTCTGGTAGAACCCAACCTCACAGATAGAATCATTGACTACAAGCCTGTCAGAGGGAGGTTAGTAATCCTTCGACTGATGCTACAACAGGCTAAATCATTGACCATGGTGCAAGTCAATGCGCCCAGTTTGGATCGAGAACATAATACCTTCCTTGAGGAAATGCAACGTGCTCTGTCCGAAGTGCCCAATAGTGAGTCCTTCAGAGTCATGGGCGACTTTAATGCGCATATCGGAGAAGACGCTAAAATATGGAACGGCGTGATTTGAAACAAAAACGGCTCTAGCGACATCAACAATAACGACGTGAAGTCGCTGCGGTTTCAACGGATTGTCCATTATGAGCAACTTCTTCGAGCATCGAAGAGTTTATCAGTATACCTGGTATCGCGAAGCTTGTGCACAGAAGTCGATGATCGATTTGATAACGATATATTCTGACATAAGACGCTCAGTAATGAATGTTCGCGTTAAGAGAGGCGCAGGGCTATCAAACGATCATCACACTGTTGTTAGCACGCGCGATGTAACAAATGGAGTACCATACGAAGGTCGGGTGGCAGAAAATACCTGAGAATCAAATGTAAACATTTTCTTCAGTACACACGTGAGTGATACCTGTCAACAACATCGCACGACGGTTTGAACAGATCCCTTGATCACCACACGTGCGGAAACCGAGTGGCAGCTTATTATGAGCGGCATAGACGAGGCTGCCGCCGAATGCTGCGGAATTAAACGGGTTGACTTGCCGCCTGAAGGTAAAAACACATCTGGTAGTAATAGACAAAAAAGCAGCATCCAAGAAATGGCCTGGGAACAAAGGGCTTCCTACTCGCGTGCGATATGTCGAGGCACGCAAGGCGGCAGCGAATGCAGAAGCGAAAGATAAAGCTGATTCTTGGGAGAAGTTCGGTGAGGTGTTGATGTCAAATTTCCACACAGCAAACAAAGTATTCTGGCAGATCATCCGCTGGCCTCGACGTGAAAGGAAGAGCAGCCTCCGTGTCTTGAACGACAGGTCTGGACGCCTTCTTACCAAGGATGATGATATTCTTCGGAGACTTGAGGAATGCTTAATCCCGCGCAACCGCAGGAAGACTAGCCTGCAGAGCAGCAGGGAGCGGATTACTATCTCTAGATGAAATTACACAAGTTGTGAAAAGTTCGAAAATGTCTGAGTGGTGGTATTGATGAAATCTGCCGTGAAATGCTCAAGGCAATTAGGCGAACAAGGCATGTGAGGGCTTGCACGTATCGGTGAAACTTCGATGACTGCGGGAAAGACACCAGCGGACTGGATAACAGGAATTATTGCACCCTTATTCTAGAAAGAAAACCTCAAGGAATACTCCAGTGTTATGGGCATAATGTTATTGAGCCTCCCAGGTAAAATATACGCAAGGGTGCTCTAA